TACATTTCTTCTAGGAGGCTTTATGTCACCTCCCAAATTTGATCAAATATACCCTCCTATGTTCTTCTCTAGTGTCTTGGAAGCCTGTTTATACTCTATCTTTTCTGATGCCTCTTCCTTTCTACTCTAAGCTTCTTGCAAAACCTCATCTATTTTGCTCACTGATACTATTCCCAAAATCTAGTGTCTCAGTAAATGGGTTGAATGGGTGAGTGAGTAAATAAGTGAAAGGAGTACCTGAAGAAGGCAAAGCAGTCAAAGTATAGCAGAATATCCTAAAAAGGAAATTAGGATAGGAGGAAAGAAAAAAAAATTACCAAAACACTGATGTGCTTATTAAAAATACTATATTTTTTAACTGTACCTTCTCACATTATTTCATGTTCTCACTTTGGCTCTATCCCTTCCTTCATTCTCACTACTGCTATCCAGATTAGGACCTGTTACTTAAATTATCTCTTACAGGGAGTATATTATCAGACTTTTGGTTTTAGTTGTATGCCCTTTAATTTATCCTATATAGATGTGTTCTCCCGTTAATTTTCTTATACCTTGCTACTAAGAAAATTTAAATTTTCCCTTTTTTCATAATCCCCAAGAAAGAGGATTTTGAAGTAATCCTTGGAGAAGTATGCTACTTTCTTGCAGCTCTTATTTTCAGGAAAATTTTTCTCATTCTCTCTTGCCATAATTTAATTCCTTATCCTCCTGATTGGCATTCACTGAATCAAACAGCAGCAGATTACTGTCACTTAGATGATCTTTCTTCATGTAACTAAAGATAATCAGCATTGATTTTCATAAATATTTATTAAGTTATTGTATCTAAGCTCTGTCTCTTTCAACTTTCTCATCTTCTAAATAAATCAACTTTATTCAATTTTCTTTATTATATCCTCATGTTGCTCATTTACTAAGTTCTCAAATTTAGAAAAAAAAAAAAAAACTTTGAGAGGGGTAAAAACTTGCCTATCAGGTATAATGAACACTTACTGGGTGAAAGGCATGCCAAAAGCCCCAACTTAAGCATTATGAAAAGTATCATGTATCAAACACATTTGTACCCCCTTAATATGTTGGGGGAAAGAATGGTTAAACAATAAATAAATAAAAGAAAAAAAGAAACCACAAAAACCTTTCTTTAGAGATAAGGTCTTGCTATGTTGCCCAGGATAGACTCATAAAAGTCCTGGACTCAAGTCATCCTCCCACCTCAGCCTCCTGAGTAGCTGGGACTACAAGCATGTACCACCACACTAGGCTCCTAAATATCACTATTCTATTAGTAAAACCTAGATTTCCTATGTTGTATTTGCTATTCAGTTTAAATTTGGTCTCACTTATCTTATTTTCCCAGATTATCATACTTTTAATTTATATGAAAAATTGTATCATTCATTACTTCTAGTCAATCTTTCTGATTCCTCATTGTCAATATTATAGCTGGTATAGATAGCTAAGAATAGAAAATCCCAGCTCTCATTTCCACACAGAGACATCAACTTCAAAGCAATATGGGACCACAGTACCTTCATGAGAACTTCAGAAAACAGGTAAGAAGTTGTATTACTCCATGCTAGTACAAAGCCACAAACAATGACATTGAAATGGATAAGAAGAATTGTTCTACTTTACTTGTGACCTCTCCTTCCCCAAGTCACTACAGTTTAGCATGGTCAAGAGAGTACGTCTGACTCATGACTTTTCTCTGTGGGGGAAGAACAGAATATGCATCAAACATTCCAGCTTTTCAGAGGGCTGTCCAATGGACTGATTTCTGTCTTACTGCATTGACAGAACCAGCATAGCTTAGACGCCTCCTGGGTGGCTGCTGAAAGTAAGCAAAAATAGAGACAGTTTTGGAGAACTGTCCTAGGGAATGGATTCTGCTTTGACTAGGGTGCTGACAGAAAACTGGCATACTTTGGATGCCTGGGGGCCACTATGAAAAAAGCGTAGGAGTGGCTCCCAGCAACAGTAGTACAGAGCCTGCAGTGCTGTGGTAAAACCAGAGGAGCAAAATATTACACACTTCTGATAAAAGAGACCTGTAAACTTCTAATTGGGAAATAGCATGAATAGTCACGGAGAAGTCACATCCTCCCCAAAAGGTTTCAGAAGCCTCCCAGAATCTCTAGCCAGGCTGACTGTTAAGAGTCTTCCCCTGTATAAAACCAGTCTTTAAAGACTCGGAGACATTAATGTTTTTTCAAATGTATAAAACGCAGCAAAAAAATCACAAGGCATACCAAGAACTAGGGAAACAAACCAAATCAAAGGAACAAAATTTCTAGAAATCCTCCTCAAAGACATGGAAATCTATGATTACCTGGCAAATAAGTCAAAATTATTATCTTTAAAAATGAGACTATCAACAAATATCAATTGTTTAAAAGATCTAAACAGAAATTCTAGAGTGGAAGAATATAGTAACTGAATTTAAAAAATTGTTAGAGTGTTCAACAACAGCTTGATCAGCAAACTCAAACACAAGTCATTTGAAATTATCAAGTCAAAGGAGTAAAAAGAGAAAAATGAGAGAAAGTAACGAAATACAAGGGGACTTATGGAATGTCATCATGTGGACCAGTGTGCACATTATGAGAGTTTCAGAGGGACGAGAGAGAGAAAGAAAGGAACAGAACTTAATTTGAAGACATAATGGTCAAAAATTTCCCATAATCTGAGCAAAGAAATGTATCTCCAAATACTTGAAGCTCAAAGGATACAGCTAGGGTGAGTACATAGACACCCATACCAAGAAATATTATAATCAAACCACCAAAAGTCAATGACAAGGAGAAAATGTTGAAAGAAGCAAGAGAAAAGTAACTTATCATGTCCAAGGGAGCTCCCATAAAAATGTCATTGGATATTTCAGCAGAAACTTTACAGACCAGAAAGGAATAGTATGATATATTCAAAATGCTAAAACAAAAACAAAGGAAAAAATCTGCCTGCAAAGGATACTGTGCCTAGCAAAACTGTCCTTCAAAAATGAAGGAGAAATATATTTTCCTGGATAAGCAAAAACTGAGGGGGTTCATCACAACTAGACCTGGTATATAAGAAATGGCAAAGGGAATTCTGCAAGTTGAAATGAAACTATGCTATGTGAAAGTGTATGAAAATAAAAAGCTCACCAATAAAGAGAAAATATATATATATATATATATATACACATACACACAAATGCAGAATACTATAATAATATAATTGGGGCATATAAAGCACATTTAATTGTCTGACCTAGTATACAAGAGACTATGCTATGTGAAAGTGTATGAAAATAAAAAGCTCACCAATAAAGAGAAAAAAAAAAATATATATATATATATACACACACACACACACACATACAAACAAATACAGAATACTATAATAATATAATTGGGGCATATAAAGCACATTCATGAACTTGTCCTAAAAAAAGTGCTATATACCTCATTGTTAAGTATCATTATGTCACCCTATGTCACCTTCAAGGTACTCCTTTTGGAATACAAGGATGGTTCAATGTATAAAAATTAATAACTGTAATATACCACATTAAAAGAACAAAAATCACATCTCAGTTGATGCATAAAAGCATTTTACAAAATTCAAAAACCTTTCATGATAATAACAAACAAGATAGAAGGTAATTATTTCAACATAATAGAGGTCATATACGAAAAGGTCACAACTAACATCCTGCTCAATGGTGAAAAGCTGAAAGTTTTTTCTCTAAGATCAAGAATAAGGCAAAAACACTTATTTTTATTTTTGCCACTTTTATCCAATATGCAGGGTGACCAAAAGTTTAACATTAGGCAAGAGAAAGAAATAAAAGGTACTCCAATTTGAAAGGAAGAAATAAAATTATCTCTATTTACGTATGACATGATCTTACAAATAGATAACCCTAAAAATTATTCTCGTTCTCTCCCTCTCTCCTTCTCTCTCTCACATACACACAAATACTGTTAGAACTAATAAAAGAATTCAACAAAGTTGCAGAATAGAAAATCATGCAAAAAGCAGTTGCATTTCTATATACTAACAGTGAACAGATAACAATTTGAGAAGGAAATTAAGAAAACCCATTCATAATAATATCAAAAAGAATAAAATACTTAGGAATAAACTTAACTAAGGAAATGAAAATAGCTAAAAGAAGTTGAAGACTCAAGTAAATGGAAAGACAGCCCATGTTCACAGATTATAAGACTTAATACTGTTAAGACTTACTGTTGTTATCCATACTACCCAAAGCAATATACACATTCATTGTAACCCCTATCAAAAAGCCAATCACTTTTCTTATTAGAAAATTACACCCTAAAATTCATGTAGAGTATCAGAGATCCTGGTATACCTAAAACAATATTGAAAAAGGACAAAGCTAAAAGCCTCACACTTCCTAATTTTAAAACCTATTACAAAGCTGCACTAATCAAAAATAGTATGGTACTGGCATAAAGATAAATATACAGACCAATAGAACGGAAAATGCAACCTAGAAACAACCTCTCCTATATATGATTTTCGATAAAGGGTACCAAAACCACTCAATAGAGAAAAGACAGTTTCCAACAAACATCTCTATCCTTATGCAAAATAATGAAGATGGACTCTCATACCATACACAAAAATTAGCTCCAAGTGGATCAAAGATCTAAACATAAGACCTGAAACTATAAAACTCCTAGAAAAAATATGGAGAAAGCTTTCCAACGTTATAATGGGAAATGATCTCTTGGATATGACACCAAAAACAGACAACTAAAGCAAACATAGACAAAGGGGACTACATCATACTTAAAACTTTGAACATCAAAGGACACACCAGAATGAAAAAGCAACTACAGAATGAGAGAAAATAATCACATATGTGATAAGCAGTTAATATCCAGAATATACCATATTTTGCCATGTATAACATGCTCCCATGCATAACGCAACCCATGTTTTTGGCCCAAACTTTCAGGAAAAAATATTTTCGTTTTAATTTTTTAAAGGAGGGCGGAAGTGGCCGCGCAGTGGCGCCTCCTTCTCTCGCGAGAGGTGGGAGGCATGGAGCCAGCCGCTGTGGAGAAGCCGGGAGCGAGCCCAGGTGGCAGGTGAGAGTTGTCCAGACAACCTGAGCGCCCAACCTCCCCCAACCGTCCTCTCCCACCTTACCCTTGTCCCCACATCCTCTCATTTCCTTTTACCACCCATGTCTATTGGTGGGAATGTTGCCACCACAGTTGTTCCACTGAGAACCCCAGCAGGCTTATTTCCCAGGAAGCTGATGTGAGAAGCTAGGGCAAGCCCTGATCGTCCTGGGCTACTGATAGCAGATCCCTCCCCTTTCTAGGATGCCTGATCCCTCACACAACTGGCCCCATTTGAGGCCCCCGGGACACCAGGCTGAGAGGAAGCCTTCCCTGCTGATAGCTCAGTGAAGTACTCTGCATTTACATTTCTGTTTAGTGACTAGACCATGACCACCTTGAGCCATTCAGACCTTGGGCATTTAGCATGAATGCATAACACCAGCCTTTCTCACACTTACAAATTCTACAAATAAGTCAGTGACATGGTGAAAATAAGACCTCCTGATCCACACCCAAATACACTGAATCAGCTCTTGAGGAGGAAGGCCTGGTTATCCATTCCATTAGCAAGCATTCTAGATGGTTCTTCCTACTGGCAAGTTTGGAAAATTATACCAACTCAACACCTTGTAGGTTCACCAAATTCTACAATACTAAACCTCTAAATGTTTAACTTATGTGACCAGCTTTATGCCTTGTATGTCATCCTCTCCACCTCTGTCCTATAACCTCATTGGGCAATTCCTCATTCTCTAAAAGTGTTTTCAGACCTCTATGATTTTGTTTATTCTGTTTCTCTAGTTTCAGATGTTCCTTCCCTTTTTCTCATTTATTAAAGAGCAACTAAATTGTCACCTCCTCTGTGAAGCCATACATTTTGTACCCTCGGAATTAGTTATTCCCTTTTCTTTATTATCATACACAGTATTTTGTTTGTAGCTTAAAACACAAGCATAGATACAGTCTTTTATTTTTCCTTAATATACAGACTTATTTGTGTATGTTTCATGAAAGATTGAGGAAGATCAGAATCTTGTCTTATTCATTACAACATTACTCCCTATGCTTAATACAGACAGAAGATATTGATTCATATTTACCTAATGCAATGAAGGGGAAGTCCAGTACCTAGTATGGTACAGGAAGAAGCACACTAGACTAAAAATCAGGAGATCTGGTCTTTTAATCTTGATGCTATTTATTTAGAGATGGATATTGAGCAAATCATTTATGCTTTCTATGGTAGAATTTGTCATCCACAAGAAATCTATAAAGATTTGGGTGTCACTGTCATGCTTAAAACCAATGTCCTATTGGCTTATGTGATAAAGTTACATAAATGATTTTTCATTGGCTTACATGATAAAGTTCAAACTCCAAAGCCTAGTATTAAGTGGCCTCAAGGATCTAGTTTTAGCAATTTTTCTAGCCTAAACTCCCACTGATCCCCAATAAAAACCCAGTGCTTTAGCCCGATCTCTGCATTCTTCTCTAAACCTTTAGCAGTTGTTCATTCAGGGTCCTGGCAAGAGACAGATGGTATACTCAAAAGATAATGAAGGAATATTTAATAAAGAAACTAAAACAGAGTGGTCAAGGTTAAGGAAAACAAGAAAAGAATAACTTTTGAAAAAAGCAACAGCAGGAATTGTTGCTGTCTCCAAACCTCATGGAACCAGAGAAAGGCACAATTACCTGAAAAGATTCATAGCTTTTAGAGCACTATCTCACAGAATCAGCGGGCTTCAGTAGAGAGACATAATTCTGCCAACCAGAAGAGAGATAGCCAAAGGAATAAATACTTTGCACTCTTCTGGTCTCCATTCTCCTGCCAATGAATGCCTCCCATTGGCTGAACTCAAGCAGAAGACACAAGGAGAAGGAGATTGTTGATCCTATCCATACATGCCAGCCTCAATGGCACAGAATAGGGTAAAGAAGAGTGGAAAGTGATGTAGGGGAGAAAATCTAGCACAGCTGCTTTATTCAGACTATTCTCCCCACCTGAACTCAATTCTATTTAGCTTAGATTAAGACTCTAATTAAAAATATATTAAGACTAGTTAAAATAATTTTGATTGAAAATAACATTTAGGAGAGCTAACCATACTCTAGTCATTCTGACACAAAGATGGGGAAGAGAGTGGGCAAGTTGGAGAAGGAGGGGAATAAGGGAAAGAATAAGCCGGATGGAAAACTTAGCAGATCTTGACTTCAAGTTGGCCAATATAGGCTTTGCAGATAAACCTAAATGTCATCCTAATAGTAAGGTCTGGACCTTATTATAAAGGCCACTAGAGGAATTTAAACATGGAAATGACAAGGTCAAATCTGAACTTGAAAAAAACATGAACTCTGAAAAAACATGTACTACTGTGTGAAGAATGGAGTGAGTCTGGGCAGGATCAGAAGCAGAAATCTGATAGAACCTGAATTAAAGCTGAAGCAATAGAAATAGACAGATTTCTGAAATATTAAGAAACCAAAACTGACAGGATTGAGAACTAGGCACAAAAAATAAGTTAAGAATGACCTGCAGTTTCAAACTAGGGCAACTATATAATTTATACTATTCTATACTGATAACACATTATCTTCAAAGTTTTGAGAAATAAGCAAGTGTTTGCTAGTTGTGCTGGAAGGTGAAGGGTAACTGAGAGGTGTATGAAAAAATGCTGTGTACTGCAAATTACTGAGTTTGCTGTGGCTAGAATAAGGGTATGTGTAAAAGCAAAGGGTGGGTGATGAAGGAAGAGAAAGGCCAGATGGTGAAAAGATTAAAGTTATATCCCTAGTGCAGTAGGAAGCTTTTGATAATTAAAAACGCAGTTAACACACTTACCTGCCATGCAAGTTGTACAGGCAGTCCCCCAGATGATGTAGGTTTGTTCTTAAATTGAATTTGTATGTAAGTTAGAACAGGTACATTAACCTATTATAATAGCCTTTGTACATAAGTGTGGGTCGTGTGTCAGTGGGGTGTTTGTAACTTGGGGACTTCTTGTATTTAATTCACACTAGTTTTGAACCTAGGGCCTCATGAAGCTGTGAAACCTCTGCTCATTTTTGTCACTAGCAATCTAGAGGTCTCTCCCACCTTCTGTCACCCTGCTCCAATTGGCCACCCTGCATGCCACACATGCTGAACTATGTTCTTCAATTACCATAACTTCCGATTGCACATTTTGCCTTGAATGTGCACCTGGTAGCACTTTGAAAAAAATCAATAGGATAGTAAATAGCAACATTACATTGTTACACATACTTAGGGATATGATTCAGAGGTTGTCATCCAGGACCACCCAAGGTCCACTTCAGACACAATGAAACATGTTGTGGAATGACAAAAGACTTAATTCTCAAAAAGAAATGCAATATGTATGTCATGAGTCACATACAACTCACATAAGTGTGCAGTATAAAAATTCTAGCACTGCATGAGTTGCATATAACTCATTGCAGAAAACAATAAAAAAATCATTAAATTAGGATTGTTTTATTTCCTAAGTTTTTATTCTGTCTTCATAATAAAACACCATAGCCCCAAGAAAAAATGGATTTTTTTCTTAGTATGGCAGTAAATATAAATAAATATATTTTTTCTTTTTTTTTTCTTTTTTTTTTTTTTTTGAGACAGAATCTCAAACTGTTACCGTTGGTGGAGTGCCGTGGCATCACAGCTGGCAGCAACCTCCAACTCTTGGGCTTAAGTGGTTTCTCTTGCCTCAGGCTCCCAAGTAGCTAGGACTACAGGCACCTGCCACAACACCCAGCTATTTTTTGGTTGCAGTTGCCACTGCTGTTTTAGCTGGCTGGGGCTGGGTTTGAACCCACCACCCTCAGTATATGAGGCTGGCACCCTACCCACTGAGCCACAGGTGTCACCCTAGCAGTAAATATATTAAAGCAGATGCTGTTGAGAAATTTTCCTGAACCTTCAGAATTTGGACCATGATGAAATTTTCCTGAACCCCCAGAATTTGGCTGGGGTTGATTAAAAAACAATTATTTCAACTCAAAAGGCATTTATCAGAAGTTTTTAAAGTGATACAGTGTCATTGTCAAATCTGAATAATACAGAAAAAAGAAAAAAGTCATTCTCATTCCTACTACATGAAGATCACAAAGATTCAGATTATTTCCAGTGCCCAGTAAATATAGAATAAATAACTACATAGTTTCTACTACATGGAAAATGCTTTAAAAGGTAGATCCCTCGATCTCACTTGCTCTTTTTACTGCTCCAACAGTAACAGGAATAGGTAGAAGGATCTACCTTTTAAGGTATTTTTCATGTAGTAGAAACTATGAAACAAGAAAACAGAAACAGAATACGAGTAATCAGTAAGCACCAGCAGACATCAATTAATCCAACATACTAGCTCTTAGTTCCAAAGCACTTACAAAGAAAACCTTTTGGGGGAAAAGGTGTATGCCATGAGAGTGTATGTGCCAGGTCTCATTAGGCTATGTTTTAAATTTAACCTTTGTTTGTGATCACTTTTTTCCCCTCAAATACTGTGGATTTTCTTTGACATTTTTTCTTCAAAGTATAAAAAGTATGAAATACAAACAGTCCCTTGAGTTACATACTTAGAATTGTACAGTTCAAGGATTATAGAGCTATCTACACACTGATAAATCCCATGAAATTTTAGATAATTTATTAATATACAAAATATCAGGGCACAGAAAGAACTAAAACCCACATCTTTTTTTACACATAAGATTCAATTAAAGAAACAATCATTTTCACTCTCTTCTGTATCTTATATTATACACTTATTGAAATATTCCTATATAATAATGTTTGATCTCACTCTTTCAGGTCAGGTTTTGTAGATTTCTCTTTTCATTATCAACATTGACTCAATCTTCACATTTGAGAAAGACCCTGCTTCATTCTCTGTGATCACCTATTCTAAGTTTTCCTTTCCCAACTCTACCAGTCAGCATTTACCAGGTGCCTAAAGATTATGGTTGACATTGTTTACATCTTACAAAAGATATTAACTGAAATT